AATGTAATAATTAGACATTTACACCCCTCACAAAGTGATAACACCCCTCTGACATCATATATAGCTGTTCCAATTCCACTGACTCTATTCCCTATGCTGTACTTCACATCCCGTGACTATATATATTTGATGGTAGTTGACATTCAGTATTATTCAGCTTTAGCTTCAGGTGTAGAGCGTGGTGGTCAGGTATCTACACAGTCCATGAAGCGGTTTTCCTAATACCGTGTTTCCCCCCAAAATAAAACTGGGTCTTATATTAATTTTTGCTCCAATAATCATTTATTCATTTATTCATGTACAAAAATCTCCATTTATTTAAACAGTCATGTCTGGCTGACGATCCTAACTGGGGCTTATGTTTGGAGTAGGGCTTATATTACGAGCATCCTGAAAAACCATGCTCGGGCTTATGTTCCGGTTAGGTCTTATTTTCAGGAAAACACAGTAAGACAAGTGCCCACCTGACAAGGTGACGGGATTAGAAAGTATAAATTAGTAGTCACAATATTGCCACGAGAATATGAAAGACAGATTTGGGGAATATAGTCAATAATGTTGTAAAGATTTTATAGGGCGTCAGATGGGCACTTGTCCCCATTTCCATTCTTACTCTTATTAATCTATATGCCAATCAGCAGCAAGAACAATCTGTCCAATGCCATGACTTAATGTCATGTCCCCCACTTAGCCTGCAATGACAACCTATCACTTTTAGAATGAAATCCCAACTCCTCACCAAGACCCGGGAGGCCCGACATGCTAAGGCCCTTCTGGGCCCCTGAGCCAATGTGTAATGCGTTCCCCTTCAGTCTTTCCGGCTGCTTTCCTGTCCTTGGAAAACACAAGGCAAGCTCATCCCGGTTCCCACTTTACAGACTCTGTACCATCTTTTCCGTCGGCTGGGCTTGCTTTCCCACTGTACCATCGTCTCCTCAAGGAGGCCTCCCCTGACTGAGGTGGTGCCTCCTCTCAGGCCCTGACCCTCCACAGTATTTATTTTCCTCACAGCACTTACCCCTGTCAGGAATCATCTTGCTTATCAGTGAGTTGCCTTGTTTATAGTCTGTTCTCCACACATGCTAGCATGCAAATCCCATGAATCCTATCCGTATGTTCCTATTTTTAATGTGTCCCCAGTGCCTAGCACATAGTAGATGCTAATGCCTATTGCATTAACATAGAACATTTAACATAGAATCATTGAATTTATGTGTTTCCTCAAGAAGACAGAAGATTTCGCTATGTTGGTGCTTTTTCAAACTTTGGGTCTGGCTCAGCCTGGAGACCAAGCTCTGAAATTCTGGATTCAAACTGACTGATATGAATTCCACCTTCATCCTTCATCAGGTCACGGCTGACTCACTTCACATCTCTGAGCCTCAGCTCCTTTATTTACTATATAAATGCAGATGATGACAGCACTCATGCCATAGGGTTGTGTGTAGATTAAACAAGACAAGACGATACAGGTAAAAGCTTTCAGCCCAGTACCTTGACATGGCAAGCCCTCAGTAAACATTATCACTGGGGCCGCTGTTGGTTTTGTGCTCTAAGTAGTCTCATTATAAAGTAGAAGGGGCAGCTTTCTCAACCAGAGATCACACCTCGTTCATTTACATGCATTCATGTATTTATCCCATGAAGAGTTTGATGCATACTAGCTCCAGACACTGTGCTGGGTGTGACTGACACAAATACAATTAAGCATGCTTGTCTTCAAGGGGGTTACCACCCAAAGCACACAAGTGATTCACATTAGTAATTAGCACATAAGGACAAAGGATGGATATCTGCCCATTGGCTATGGGAAGAAAGAGAAAAAGGTCTCAGTCACAGGGTGGGGAGGGAACACCGGCCCATTTCCCTCATCCAAGCATCAAGGATGAGTTCATGCCTGTACATTTGCCCTTTCAACATGACCGAGACAGCCATGTCTGGCTCATTAGCCCTCTTTTACAGATGGAGAAACTTAAGTTTAAGTGGAAGAAGACCCAGGATGCCAAACCAGGTTTATGAAATCCAAGATCAGCCCCAGGTTGGAACCGATGGTCCCCAAGCTCACAGAAGTAAACAAGATAAAAAGTCCCTAAAGGACAGAAACTTGGAAAAAAAAAATTTTTTTTTAATGGTCTCAACGAGGTTGCTCAATACTATTATACGCTCACCCCAGCCGCCAGTGTCTGAGATTCTCATGGGAACAGGTCTTATTCTCACAGCCCCCAAGAATAAATCTCCCACTTGTAGCAAAAGCAAAAAAATGTCACCTTGTGACAAGCACAGAAAGGGACATTCTAACATACATACAACTTTTTAAAACGTAACTCTGGTTGTATTTTTCTAAGCAGACACTCATGTAGTGTCTGGAAGGACAATCCAAGCCTGGAAGTCAGAGAAACACACCAGGAATTTTATCACTGGTTCTTTGCAGACTCCAGAAACTCAGAGGTGGCAGCGGGAGCTGGATCTGCCAACAGGTGAGTCAGGAGCACTTGGGACGTTCAGTACCTAAAACAATGCCTTGGATATTGCCAGTGCAACTGAAATAATCCATCTTAGTTACCAGCTGACACTTTGGGGAAGGGAAAAGTCAGGTCTACAGTCAAAATTTACTCAAGAATATCTTTGAGTAGAACGGTGGTGGCCAGGGGCTGGAGGGTGTGAGAAATTACATGGTCAAAGGGTACAAACTTCCCGTTATAAGAGGACTAAGTCCTGAGGATCTAATGGACAGCGTGGACCTGTAGTTAACAGTACTGTACTGTGTACTTGAAAGTTGCTGTACGAGTAGAGTTTAAATGCTCTCAGCATAACAACAACATGATAACTGTGTTAGATGAAGGATGTGATAACTAACCTTATTATGGCAAACATTTCACAATATAAACGTGCATCAAGTCATCATATGGCATCTTACATCTCAGTAAAGCTGGGGGAACAGAATACCACTGAAAGAGATGCAGGAAAAGTCTCGTGATTTAATATAGAAAGTGCTATTAATTCAAGCAACACTCACTAATTGTATATAATGGGAGGCTCCACTGACTCTTGCCCTTAGCTTGTGGGGCATGTTTTTGTTCAAAGTACTTCCTCTGCTTGGAGTTGCCTTCCCTCGCCATACAGATCTCCACCTTAGACAATCCCAAATGTGTTTCTAGAACCAATTTTAAAGCTACTTATTTCAGGAAAGGTTTCTAGATCCTCTAACAAGATGAGCTCATCCCCTAAACTAAAGACAAACAACATTCAGCTTTTATCTGCTTTTGGAAGCTATTAACTCTGACTTGTGTCACAGAGAATCACCATAACAATTGAACTTGAAGACTATGGGGGTAACTAATTCACCATTTTGGACCCTAAGTCTCTGAACATTTTTTTAACAACTGAGATACTCCCTTTTTCCTTCGGACTAAATTGACCTCTTTTAACCCTTGAAATGGTGTTACCCTTGTTTCTCTGATGTCTTATAAAGGTGTGGCTTTGATTTAATAAAACTGGAAGTTTTTTGACTTGATGAGAGATGGTATGTCTGCAACCTGTACTTAACAGCAATTTAAGGGATATAAAATACATACAAAAAATAGTTAATAATTACAAAAAGGCATACAAAATATACAATGAATATATCTAACCAACAAATAGCTATGGATATAAACTATCACCAATACCATTGAAGCCCCAGTATTATACGTACTCTAATCAGTCAATAAACTCTTTTCCTCAACATTATGTTTTTAAGATTTGGGTTAAAAAATATAGCTCTTGGGCTTTATTTTCACTAATGCATAATATCCTTTTCTATAACATGATTTATTTAATCATTAGTTGTCTAGTTTCTTTTCAATTTTTGTCTGTTATATCACATGGTTTGATTTACAATTTTAAAATCCAATTTGACAATCTTTAAATTTATTGATGAGTTTAGTCCATTTATATTTACTTTCCTTTCTAATTCATTTGGATTTGTTTATGACTTCTCAGGTGATTTCTATGTGTCTTGAAATTTTCTATTATTATGTTCATCTCCTTTATTATGTTTAGTTAGGTTGATTGACTTTAAAATTCCATTTATTCCCCTAAACTTAAAAAAAACTTCATTTTTATCTTTTCTAATTATTAAAATTATATACATCTAAGTAAAAGTCTAAAGTACAAGAATTTTTGAGCACCTTAAATCTAATAAATCCTCTAATCTAATACATTAGCATTAGCTGACATTTTTAGTCCATTTCCCTATGGACAATATTAATATTTTATACTGCCTCTATTCCAGTTTTCCCACATTTACCAATTTCTAAGCTCACCATTTCTTCTTGCTTCTGAGACTTTCTTCAGAGATTATATTCCTCTTTTCCGATCAAGTCTTTAGAAGCATCTTTAGTGCACAACTCTTGATGGTAAACTCTCTTTTGTTTTTGCATGAAAATGTTTTTTAATCCATATTTTTCATTAACTCTTTATTTTTAAATGTAGAACCTTCATAACAATTAAAATGATAATGCAAGGAACACAGGCATGCACTTCACAAGATTAACCAATGCTTTCCATTTTGTTTTATCTCTACATAGACAAATTTCAGGGGTTTGAAACAGGATTAAACTGATAAATGACTGAGAAAAACTATAGGTCATTGAAAGCATTTAAAATCATATTTCAATATTGCTTTCAGCAAATATAGATAGCTGTTTAATACAGTGAACACGTTTATGTTTCTTAGGATCTATGTTTCTTAGGATCACACATATTAGAGGTCAGTCTTCTATGAAATCTTCATTTTGAAAATAAATCTATGGTATATCACTTTTGATGTGGTGGTTTCTCATAAAGAAAATAGAACTATTTGGAAAGCAATAAACCCTGTTGTGAGTGTTTGCCATGAAAATCCAATTCAAAAACAAGTGCAATGAAATGAAAGAGCCTTTTTTCTTTCAAGAAGTCACAAAGATTTCCCTTCTTTTCTTGATCCTCCCTCTTGGTCCTTTCTAGGTTTGTTGGTAGCCATGACACAAGGAAATGGCACTGAAGTGACTGAATTCTTTCTACTGGGATTTGGTGCCCAACACAAGTTTCGCTATGTCCTCTTCATTGTATTTCTAGTCATCTACGTGACCTCCATGGTGGGTAACATTGGAATGATTCTAGTCATCAAGACAGAGTCCAGACTTAAAACACCCATGTACTTCTTCTTACAACATTTGGCTTTTGTTGATACCTGTTATACCTCTGCTATCACTCCCAAGATGCTGCAAAGCTTCATAGTAGAAAATGTATCAATATCATTCAGGGGCTGTGTTGTGCAATTATTGGTTTATGGAATATTTGCAACCACTGACGTGTATATCCTGGCTGCTATGGCTGTGGACCGCTATGTAGCCATCTGTAACCCACTTCACTATCCCATAGTCATGTCCCAAAGAGTCTGTATCCACTTGGTAGCTGGTTCTTATGTCATTGGCTCAGTAAATGCTTCTGTGCACACAGGTTTTACATTTTCCCTATCCTTCTGCAAGTCCAATATCATCAATCACTATTTTTGTGATATTCCACCAATTCTCGCCCTTTCATGCTCCAACATTGACATCAACATCATGCTACTTGCCATCTTTGTGGGATTTAACTTGATGTTCACTGTGCTGGTCGTCATCATCTCCTATATCTATATCACTGCTGCCATCCTAAGGATGTCTTCTACCACAGGGAGGAAAAAAGCCTTCTCCACGTGTACCTCCCATCTGACAGCAGTCACCATTTTCTATGGAACCCTAGCATACATGTACTTACAGCCTCATTCTAACGATTCCCAGGAAATTATGAAAGTGGCCTCCATATTTTACAGCATTGTGATTCCCATGTTGAACCCCCTGATCTATAGTTTGAGAAATAAGGAGGTGAAGGAAGCTCTAAAAGTGATGGGGAAAAAGTTCTTCTAGGTGGGACCAAAATTCTTAAAATTCAGCACATCAAAGCATCCAGTAGAGATGTTTGACCACTATCTAATGTTTCTGAAATTGGAAATACATTCATATCTTAAACCAATGCTACCTCTCTTGATAGATCAGTTCTTAAAATTAGGGAAATATAGTAACATCTCATGGGACTAATTTTCCCTTGAATGTAGTTTGAGAAACATATCTCATACTACCCATGATGAAGGGCTTTATGTAGGCTATTTAAAATATTAAGAAGTATATATAGACTTTACAAAGTAGTTACTTGTTTCAAATATTTCAGTATGTTTTTAAAGACCAGAAAACCCCAATTTTTTATATACTTAATATTGAAATTGAAGTTCATTATTTTCCATTCATTTTAACAAGTTTCCTAAATTGTTTACAAAGTGGCTTTTTATATGTTCTGTTCTAATTATTGCATAAACCCAAATGTAAAATAAACTGCTTTGAAAACAACTTATGACTCAGACTATTATACTTTCTACCAAATAATCCCATAGTAATTACATTCTCTAGCACTTGAAAACAGTTATTTCTTATGTGATGTTATAACTTATTTTTGTCATTAGTTACCCTCTCTATTCTGAATCTATCGCTTTCTTGTATAAGGTAAGAAAACATCTGGAAATATTTTCTATATCTCTCTCCAATAGAGATGGAAAACCTAGATTGCAGATAGATCTAAAAGGCTAAACAATGGTCATTCATTTACAAGAGTCAAATCAATCATTTTAGTCCAGACAAATAACTTTAAGCTATAGAAATCCAATGAGAAGTTGAAGGCAGGCCAAGGGCCCTTTGAATCAGGAAGATATACTGTTGACAAAAAAAAAAAAGCTTTAATAGATTTAGGGTAAGTGATGGAAACCGCCACATGAACCTAAAGATGCCATGCTAGGTAGATGAAAAAGCAAGTTTCACATTAAAATAACACCAGTAAGTCTAATGAACTGGCAGGAAATGTACTGTTAAGTATCACCGCAAGGAGAATTGGGCAAGAGAAGATACATTTTTCAAGTACACTATCCTGCTTAAATTCAAAGAGAAGAGGAAAAATTAACATGAAGTCAGTGTAGGATGACCAGAATCTCCCCAGCAAAGACACTGTCTATACAAAGGAAGAATCTATTCAGGGCGTGTTCAAGTATCTAAAGGCCAGGGACAATAGCTGGAGGGTCATTGGAATGTAGACAGAGAATGTCTTGAGGCCCTAGAGAGGAAATTGGAGACTAATATATAGCATGGTGACTATAGTTAAAATATTGTATCATATACTTGAAATCTGCTAAGAGGGTAGATTTTAAGCATTGTCACCAAAGGAAGGAAGGAAAGGAGGGAGGGAGGGAGGGAGGGAGGGAGGGAGGAAGACAATGACGATGATAGATATGTTAATGACCTTGATTTTGGTGGTCATTTCACAGTGTATACCTATATCAAAATATCAACTTGTACATCTTAAGCTTATGCAAATTTGATCAATTACACCGCAATAAAGCTGGGGAGAGAGATGATAAAGCAAAGAAAAACTTAGTACAAGTTAGGAAGTCTAAGTGACTAATTGGAAATAGGGCATAAATGGAAAGTCAGTGCTGTGTTCAATGCTGAGGTGAAAGAAATCCCCAAAGAAAATAAGCTCTGTGACAAACGGAAAACCAGTGAAATCCCTAAGGCTTATATGAAGGAGGAAACATGATCTGGATTCTAACCTGAGAGTGATCAGCGAATATATATATATATATATATATATATATATATATATATATTCAGTAAATTACAAAGGTTTAGGAGGGCAACACAAACTTAGAAGTCATTGTCTTTGAAAATAATGTTAATTTTGTACTTATATTTAACACAAGTTGAATTTTTGAAACTGTGTAGTAGTTCTGGAATATGAGGTTATTAGATTATTATTTATTATTAAATCGATAAAAATATTTGAAAAGTCTGGAAAAAAAAACCCAGCACTCCAGCGTCTTCAAAGCTCTGGTCTCTCACTCTCTGCTTCCTTCTTCTAATGTTAAGAATTCTTGGAAAATCCAGGGTGGTCCCTCCATCTCAAAGTCAGCTGATGAGGACCCTTAATTCCTCTTTGCTATGTGATCTAATCTAGTCACAGATTCCAGGGATTAGGATGTGGACATTTAGGGGAGCTCTTACTGTCTGCCACAGAAGGAGTCTGGGCAAAGTGTATTATTTCTCACAACTGCACATGAATCTGTAATCAGCTCAATTAAAACTTCATTGAGTGAAAATGTTTGTTAATCTATGCTGCAGTTAACTTGATTTTCAATGTTAACTTGATGCAGTTAACTTGATTTTCAAACACAACAGGGATCAGCCCATATCTTCTCATACACACATATCCTCCATCCTGAGCGTGTCCTCTGCTATAGGGAAAGCCAAAGGCTCCCCCCACAGATGTCTTCCACCCGACAGCTCTCGCATTTTCTCTGGGGCCCTCTCTTACATGTCCGTGCAGCCTGGATCTACCAAGTCTCAAGAGAAGGAAAAACCGGCACCCATATTTTTTGGCATTATAATTCTCATGTTAAACCTTATCTACTACTATGAAGTTCTACCATCAATAATGAATAAGCCCTCTTGCTTGGGCATACATTGCTACCAATGAGTGCCCAAAGTACCAAGGTGGTGAGTGTTCCATTACATTTGCTGATACCGCATTGGCCATATTGCAAGTCACATGACCAACCCAGGTTCAAACAATTGGAGGAATTGACTCTCCCACCTGATGGAAGGATCTGCAACATCACATTGTAATGGTGTGGATGCACTGAAGGAAAGAACTTGTGGCCGTTTTTTATACTCAACCACACCATGTTTCTTCCCAGAGTAAATTTGTTTTTAGCTAACATCCTAACCAGGATATGAGTCATACTGCCATAGGTGTGTGTATGAGAAATGCTCGAACTTAACCTTTGTAAACACAATGATAATTTGCATTTTTCTCATTATTTTATCCTCAGGCATCTATTAATTGTCAGGAATATATTAGGTGCTTATTCAATGCTTACTGACTGAATGAACAGAGAATGCACACTGAAAACTTGACTGTGATCACTACAATAAATAAAGCCTACCAGCTAGAGCCCAGTACAGCTGACTCTTCCAGCAGCACACGTGTTATAAGGGCTTTTCAGGCCCAGCAGCTGTCTCTGAGGAATTATGACAGAAGCTTAATTCATCAACCAAAATTCGAAGTCAAGAATTAACAAAGATCATAGGGAATAGAGTCGATAATATGGTAATAACTATGTATAGTGCCAAGTGGGTACCAGGCTAATCGGGGGATCACTTCATAAATTATATAAATGTCTAACCACTACACTGTACACTTGAAACTAATATTAAATATAAAATAATACTGAAAAAGACAAGACTAGCAAAGATGGCTAACTTTATAGAAAATACTAGTCTAGGCCGAGATGGATGGAAATGTGGCATCATACATAAAAGATTCAGACAAGAGTAACATGGAGAAGGGAATACCTACAGAAGCTGAAAGAGACAGAATATATTCACCACCCCTTATGTGTGTTCACTAGCGGTGGCAAAATACACTTGTTCTTCTATTCACTGTCCATTCTCCCCTGATTCCATCCTACTGCCCATTCTCCCTGATTCCATCCTAAAAAAACTCCAATATTATGTGCAAGGTGATTCAGCCAGAAAAACAGGTATTTACTTCTCAGCTTCCACTGTAGCTCGGGTGGCGTGTGTCTATCTAGTTCACATTCCTGAGATGTGGCTTTGGGTAAAGGAAAGGCATGTGGGGATACGTAGTAAAGAGTTCCTTACCTAAAGCAAGGTCTGGCCTTGGCCTTCAGCTGTTGGGATGTGATCTCTAAACCCTGGAACACCTTCCTAATAGGAGTGTCTCTGCTTGCTTGGAGGTTTTGGCCTCTGGATGGTCTGACCATGTGATTTACGAGGTGGGCCTTGGAATAATGCCCTATCAGTTCCAACCTCCAGAGAAACTGTAAACTAATGGCATTACCTAAACCTTCAGGAGGAGTTGGGAGCTAAAAGTCAGCCACATGAGCAATACGTCATAGAGCGCCGAGAGAAACTGTGGGGCCGGCCGAGTGGTGCGGTGGTTAAGAGCTGGCTTGGGACGCCAGAGGGCCCCGGTTCGGATCCCACATACGAGGGCCAGTGACACTGCCCTCCACAGCTAAGATGCCGAACAACAGCTCAACCTAGAGCTGAGCTGCCGTGAGTCGCCTGCAACGGTGTAGGCTGCAGCCCCTGTGGCAGTGGGTTGCCATGGGCTACCGTGTGTAGCCAGCAGCCAGCATGAGCGGCCAGCAGCCGCAGTGAGCAGCCGTCCAGAAGCCGGCGACTGATCTGCCTCACCCGGGAAGAGCGCAATGATGGTGCCAACTTGGGCCAGTGAAGCGACGTCCTCTACAACTAGACCGAAGAACAAAACGACAGCAACTTGTCTGTTCCCCTTCCCCCAATTCCCCAATAAAAATCTTAAAAAAAAAAAAAAGAAAAAAGAAACTGTGGATACCAAAGGTTCCAGTGAGCTTCCCGGCTTGGCAATACTCCATCATGTGGCCACACATTGACACCGGGAGGGCAATGCATCCCTGAGGACCATGGAAGCTTCTGGCTTGAAACCCTCACACACTTGGCCCTATGTGTCTCTTCCTTTGGCTGCTTCTAATTTGTATCGTTTTGCCACAGTAGAATTGTAACTGAACGTAGAGTGCTTCCCTGATGGGTCAGTTCTAGCTCTGCTTCAAATTAGCATAGATCAAGCAGTTTGTTAACAGAAATTTCTTGCTCACAGTTCTGGGGGTTAGAAGTCTAAGATTAGAGTGACAGTAAGGATGGGTCCGTTGAGAGCTCTCTTCAGGGTTGCAGACTGCCAGCTTCTTGTGGTGTGCTCACAGTAGAAAAAGGGCTAGAGAGCTCTGTGGAGACTCTGCTGTAAGGACACTGGCCCCACTCAT